TGCTGCTGCTGCTGCTGCTGCTGCTGCTGCTGCTGCTGCTGCTGCTGCTGCTGCTGCTGCTGCTGTCGTCAGGTATATACTCAAGCAGCTGCTGCAGCAAACCCTCGCCAGCAGCAGCAGCAAAAAAGAAATTTTGTTCTTCGAGGATTTTATTAAAATAGCTGTAAGCTATTCTGAACGCACGCCTGCACAGCAGCAGCAGCAGCAGCAGCAACAGCAGCAGCAGCAGCAGCAGCAGCAGGGAGAGCAGTGGTAGTAGTAGTAGTAGTAATAACAGCAGCAGCAGCAGCAGCAGCAGCAGCAGCAGAAAAAAAAAAAACAGCAGCAGCAGCAACAGCAGATACACCATGCAACGCAGCACGTCAGAAGCTGCAGCAATAACCACAGCAGCAGCAGCAGCAGCAGCAGCAGCAGCAGCAGCAGCAAAAGCTAACACACTCGACAGAAGGGTGTTGTGTTCTCCCCCAGAGATTAATCTTCTTTGCCTGCTGATCTGAACCCTGAAACACAAACCCTAAACCCTAAACCCTAAACCCTAAACCCTAAACCCTAATTGCTCTGCGTTTAGCTGAATACTGACTTTTTAAGGAAAAGAAAATGAGGGTTTTGGGTTACAGTGATAAGGGTTTGGGGTTTAGTCTAATGAGGGTTTAGGGTTTAGAATATGAGGAGCCTTTAGGGTTTAGGGCTTAGAGTGATGAGAGTTTAGGGTTTAGGGTTTACGGCGACGAGCGTTTAGGGTTTAGAGTGATGAGGGTTTAGGGTTTAGGGTTTACAGTGATGAGGGTTTAGGGTGTAGGGTTTAGAATGATGGGGGTTTAGGGTTTAGAGTGATGAGGGTTTAGGGTTTAGGGTTTACGGTGACGAGGGTTTAGGGTTTAGGGTTTAGAGTGATGAGGGTTTAGGGTTTAGGGTTTAGGGTTTACGGTGATGAGGTTAAGATACTCCGCCAGCTGGCCTCTGCTTTCATTCGGCAGCAAACGAGCGTCGGTGTCGCACACCTAAGCAGCAGCAGCAGCAGCAGCAGCAGCAGCAGCAGCAGCAGCAGCAGCAGCAGCAGCAGCAGCAGCAACAGCAGCAGCAGCAGCAGCAGCAGAAACAGGAACAGCAGATATATTTAGGTTGCAGCTACAGTAAGACAATACAAACAACAAAATCTGCTGCAACAAACAGCAGCAGCAGCAGCAGCAGCAACAGCAGCAGCAGCAGCAGCAACAGCAACTGCAGCAGCAACAGCAATTACAACAGCAGAAGCAACAGCAGCAACGCATGCACCAACAGCATCAGCAGCACCACCACCACCACCAGCAACAGCAGCACCACCACCACCAGCAACAGCAGCAACACCAGTAGCAGCAGCACCAGCAGCAGCAGCAGCAGGACCCCCAGCAGCAGCAGCAGCACCACCACCACCACCAGCCACAGCAGCAGCACCAGCAGCAGCAGCAGCAGCATCAGCACCACCAACTACAGCCACAGCACCAGCACCAGCAGCATCAGCAGCACCAGCAGCATCAGCAGCAGCAGCAGCAGCAGCAGCAGCAGCAGCAGCAGCAGCAACAAACCCATCCATGTATTCCTCTTCTGCCTGAAAAAACCCAAAAAATTTCTTTGAAGCCAAAATCTTCTCGCAAAGAAATTTCTAGCAAACGAACCGCAATCGCTAGAAAACGCCTGCATAAACCCTAAACCCTAAACCCTAAACCCTAAACCCTAAACCCTAAACCCTAAACCCTAAACCCTAGGAGAGGGAATGGGGAGAAGAAACAATCAAATATATAGATTTTATTAAAATGGATAATTGAGTACATATTCGTAGATTTATTTATCTATCTAAAACAATAAACCCTAAACCCTAAACCCTAAACCCTAAACTCTAAACCCTAGACTCAAACCCTAAACCCTAATATATATTAGATATAAATATATCTCTCACCAGCATTTTTTACAGACTTTCTTATCCTTGCAGCAAGTCCTAATATGATCGTAATCATTCATATCTATATCTATCTAAAACCCTAAACCCTAAACCCTAAACCCTAGACTCAAACCCTAAACCCTAAACCCCAAACCCTAAACCCTAACATATATTAGATATAAATATACCGCTCACCAGCATTTTTTACAGACTTTTTTATCCTTGCAACAAGTCCTAATATGATCGTAATCATTCATATCTATATCTATATCTATATATAAAACCCTAAACCCTAAACCCTAAACCCTAGACTCAAATCCTAAACCCTAAACCCTAAACCCTGATATAAATATATCTCTCACCAGCATTTTTTACAGACTTTCTTGTCCTTGCAACAAGTCCTAATATGATCGTAATCATTCATATCTATATCTATTATAATTTCTTTTTGTTGAGGATAAAAAGATGAATGCATTTCTTTTTGGGGGATGGGGTGTACATACACCGCACCAATGTCAAACTTATGACAGTAAAAATCAGAAAAAGATAATAAACGTTCTTTTAAATCCGCTAGAGACCTGAAACCCTGAAAAAAAAACACAAATAAATAAATAAATTAATTAATTAATGTTTTATTTTTCTTTTTATTTGTTTATTTTGGTATATAACAGAAAAAAAGAAAAAAAAACAAAAAAAAAACAAAAAAAAACAAAAAAAAACAGATAATAAACGTTCTTTTAAATCTGCTAGAGACCTGAAACCCTAAAAACAAATACACAAATAAATAAATAAATAAATAAAGAAATGTTTTATTTATTTATTTATTTGTTTATTTATTTATTTTGGTACATAATGGAAAAAAAAAGAAAAAAAGAAAAAAAAACAAGAAAAACACAGATAATACACGTCTTTTTAC